AGCGTCAGACTTTGGCTCAGATCATGATCTCACAGTTCATGAGTTCGAGCCCCACATCCGGCTTACTGCTATCAGCATGGAGCCTGCTTTGAATCCTCTGTCCCCCTCTCTCTCTGCCCCTCCCCTGCTTGTGCATTCTCTCTCAAAACTAAATAGAACATTTAAAAAAACTCAATATATTTTAAAGAGCAGAAGTTTCCATTTTAACAAAGTTCAGTTTATCACATTTTTTTGGCTATGGTTTGTGTGTTTGTGTTCTATGTAAGGAATGTTTACCATAGTCATAAAGATTTTCTCTTGCTTTTCTTCTAGAAGTTTGATGGTTTTGTTTTATCATTATTTTTTTAGTAGTCTCTACGTCCAACGTGGGCTTTGAACTCACAGCTCCTAGATCAAGAGTCGCACACTCTACAGACTGAGCCACCCAGTTTGACGGTTTTAACTTTTATGTTTGGGTCCATGATCCATTTCAGGTTAATGTTTGTGTATTGCATAAAATAAGGAGCAAAAACTTTTGTTTCCCCATATAGATATCCAGTTGCTCCAGTGCCACTTTTTAAAAAAATATTTCTTAATGTTTATTTTTGAGAGAGAGACAGATGTGAGCAGGAGAGGGGCAGAGAGAGAAGGAGACACAGAATCCGAAGCAGGCTCCAGGCTCTGAGTTGTCAGCACCGAGCCCGACTCAGGGCTCGAACCCACGAACTGTGAGATCATGACCTGAGCCAAAGTTGGATGATCCACCAACTGAACCACCCAAGTGCCCCTCCAGTGCCATTTTTTCAAATGCCTTTCTATTCTCCATTGGACAACAGTTAGCTTTGTCAAAAATCAATTGACACAGATGTGTGGGTTTATTTCTATTCTGTTCTGTTGAGAACCATACCACATATTCCCAATTCCTGTAGTTTTATGAATGGACACTAAGCTTCAAACACACTAAACCGTTCAACCTTGTTCTCTCTTTTTTTTTAATATTTTATTTATTTCTAGGAGAGAGAGAGAGAGAGCGTGAGCAGGGGAGGGTCAGAGAGAGAGGGAGTCACAGACTCTGAAACAGGCTCCAGGCTCTGAACTGGCAGTCAGCACAGAGCCCAACGCGGGGCTCAAACCCACGAACCGCAAGATCATGACCTAAGCGAAAGTCAGATGCTTAACCGACTAAGCCACCCAGGCGCCCCTCAACTTTGTTCTCTTTTTTAAAATTGTTTTGCCAATTCTAGGTCCTCTGCAATTTCATACAAATTTTAGAATTAGCTTGTTGATTTCTACCAAAAAAATATCTTGGTGGAATTTTGGTTAAGATTGCTTTGAATCTATAGATCAATGTGGGGAGAATGGACATTTCAACAGTACTGAATTTTCTCTTCAGTGAATGTGGTGGACATTTCTCCATTTATTCAGGTCTTCTTTCATTTCTCTCAGCAACGTTTGTAGTTTTTACTGTACAGGTGTTGTTAAATTTATCCTTAAGTATTTCATGTTTTTGATACTATTGTGAATAGTATTTTTAACTTTCAGTTTCCAAATATTTATTGCTGAGTTTTGTAAATTGACTTTATTTTCTGTATCCTTGCTAAGCTCACTTATTAGTTCTTTTTTTTAAAGGACTTTTTAAAAATTTAAATTCCAGTCAGTTAACATACAGCGCAATAGTGGTTTCAGGAGTAGAATTCAATGACTCATCACTTACATACAACATCCAGTGCTCATCACAACAAGTGCTCTCCTTAATACCTATCACCCATTAGCCCATCATCCACCTCCCTCCCTTCACCAACCCTGTTTGTTCTCTATTGTTAAGAGTCTCTTGTGGTTTGTTTCCCTCTCTCCTCTCCCCTCCCTCCTTCCCATATGTCCCATATTTTGTTTCCTAAATTCAACATATGAGTGAAATCATATGGTATTTGTCTTTCTCTGACTGACTTATTTCACTTAGCATAATACCCTTTAACTCCATCCACACTGTTGCAAACGGTTAAGATTTCATTCTTTTTAATAGCCAATATTCCGTTGCATGTATGTACCACATCTTCTTTATCTATTCATCAGTCGATGGACAGATGGGATCTCCCCACAGTTTGGCTATTGTCGATAATGCTGCTATAAACAATGGAGCACACGTATCCCTTCGAATCTGTATTTTTGTATCCTTCGGGTAAATAGTCAATAATGCAATTGCTGGGGTGTAGGGCAGTTCTATTTTTAGTTGTTGAGGAACTTCCATACCGTTCTCCAGAGTGGTTGCACCAGTTTGAGGATTTTCTACACACACAATAAATAAAGAGTTTTACTTCTTTCCCAATCTACATACTCCTATTTACTTTTCTTGCCTATTAGAGGCTAAGACCTCCTAGTGTTGATTAGAAGTGGTGAGAGTGGGCATCTTTGCCTTGTTCCCGACTTTGGGGGAAAACATTAAGTCTTTCATCTCTAACTATCTTTCTTAACAGCATCTTGTTCTGGTTTTGTGGACAGCAGGATGTTTCCCTTTATCTGGGGATATCAAGCATAGGGTTGGATGGCTGGTTTAGAATTTCCACACTCCTTGCCATGTCTCTGGTTCAGCCAAGTATTTTGTTTGCATTGCTTTTGGTTTGTTGTTGTTTTGCTTTGCTTAGATGTTTTTGTTTTGATGTTTGTTTTTGAGATGATGTTTGTTTCTCTTTCATGTTATGGTTTTCCTCAGATGGACTTAGGTCACTCTTCCGACTGTTCTATTTGAGAGTGAGGTACTCCAGACTGCTGGTTAGCCTGCAAAACTTTTCTTCCTGCTGGGAGCCCAGCTAAAGAATACATTTTCCAGCCCCTTTTGTGACTAGATGAGGTCATGCAACCAATTTGTCATCAACAAAATAGAGGGGAATTTATGTGTGCTGCCTTTGACTCGCCTGTTTAACAAAACTGCTGTCCTGAACTTCCCATTTCCGCTTCCTGCAAGCTGGAACACAGATGGCCGATGGTTAGGTAAAGACAATCTTTTAAGGGATAGCCAACCAATGAGATGAAAGGAAACTAGGCCCGTGAATGGCTCATGGAGCAAAAGAAATTAACTTCTATCTTCTTTAGGCCACTCACTGTATTTGGGGATCTCTTTGGTACAGTAACCTAGACTTTGCTTTAACTAATATCCCAACTAATTCAAGCACTGAAGAGATGGTTAGAAGCTTCATGTGCCTGAGTGCTCATTCAGTGGTGGGTTTCACTTTAAGGTAGGGACTCTCCAGGTCTCAAGCACTGTTGTACCTTCTGGAAATAGAACAATGAAGACAGCTGACTAAACCTCTAGCTATCAAGGAGCCTGCATTCTGGCAGTCAGAGGAAACAATGGTGCTTGGTTAGGACAAACTCATCACCTACCTGAAGAGTGTTGCTGTGGGTCTCTGGTCATTTGATTGCACCAAATAGGGCCAGAGAAGAGAGGAGAGAAATGCAGGAAAAAGAAGTTGAAAGCATCCAACCCTACTAGACTCCAGAAAATAGGCCTCGTTTTGTGAAAATGAAGCGTCCATCCAGTACTTCGGTAGTATCCCAGTTAAAAATGCAAAACCTGAATCTAATCGTGAAAAAAACAACACACAAACCCTAAATGAGAAATTTACCTTTTGTTTGTTTTCATGTAATAAAACTCAAAGAAGGCGGAGGACAATTTTCAGATTAAAAGAGATTACAGAAACATGAGAAATAAACACAGTACCTAATATTAGACTGCATCCTGTATGGGGGTGGGTGTGTGTGGAGATTGCTACAAAGTTCATTATTGGGTCAATGGATAAAATTGGAAGGCAGAGGATAAACTTGCTTAAATTATGTAAGAGGATGCCCCTATTCTTAGAAAATACAGCCAGAGGGGCGCCCGGGTGGCGTAGTTGGTTGGGCGTCCGACTTTCGCTCGGGTCATGATCTCGCGGTTCGTGGGTTCGAGCCCCGCGTCGGGCTCTGTGCTGACT